GGACTTGTGTGTTTGTGGTTGTGTGTTGACTTGTGTGTTGTGGCTGTGTGCTTGTGATTGTGTTGTGGTTGTGTTTGTCGTTGTGATTGGGAGCGTGCTGGTGTGTTTGTGGTTGTGGTTGTGTTTGTGATTGCGTTTGAAATGTCACGGTGGGGATCTCGATTGAACACTGCCAGCCGGAGCTCGCAGTTGAGGTCTGGCGGGGAACACTACCAGCCGATGCTCGCCCTTGAGGACGACGCGGAGGACGAGGAGGAGGACGGAAGGAGGACGCCAGGTGACATAAAATCTAACAGCCCTCACCTGACAGGTGGAACAAATATATACACCGGGGGGGAAATAGGATGGCACAACTAGGATACCTCCAAAATGGGTAGATGGCACGGAAAATGTGCAATGAACAGCGCGCGCAATCAAAAAAGAAAACGCACTCCCCCAAGAGCAAATCCATGCAAACATGAGGGGTAGATGGCACAACTCAGTTGTGGTGGGAATGAATCTTTCGCATCCACCTGATTCAGAGGATTGAATGGTTTTTTTGGCATCCAGGTCCATTCTCAGTTTTTTACTAATGAAAATGGCATTGCGCCTTCTATGGAGGCCTTTTTGATACCTGGTGGTACTGAAACCCAGGTTCAGTACATGATATTTTCCCAGGACCGACCCTGTCTGAGCCAAACCAGGTGTGAAGGCTAGTGGGTCAAGATAAGGCCGAAAAAATCCCTGACCAATGCAGATAGATATTTTTAGGAAGGCCTTGGTTTGTTTTTGGGCAGGTTCTGTATGTTTCTGCTGCGTTGCATATTTTGCCTGCAGGTCGAAGACTTGTACAAAAAGTTCAAGCTCAAAATTTCCAAAGAGATGTTCATGGGGACAGCTGCTGTGAAGCCCAGGGGGGTGGATCAGCGCCAGCAGGACACTGTTTTTCTCTCCACATTTTCAGGTGGCCAGTGCAAAGACGTGAACTGTTGAAGCAATTCAATGCAACCACCAATTCCAGTCGAAAGGAACTCCCAGACATGGAAGCAAAGAGAACTTGCCAGTACCATATTTGCACATGATTCTGGGTTGCTGGGTCGTCAACAAAATACCAAGAAGGACCATGTTTTGTTTTCAAACATTTTCAGGTAAGTGTGCTTCCTCAACTGTGACAGGAAAAGCCGTCTGATCCTGATGGACTTCCTCCAGGAGACACTGTGGAAAATCCACGGTCTGAGGTTTGTTGCTACAAGAATAGTGACAACCTATGAGATTATGAAAGAATCCTTTATGAACAGTTTCATTTTCTTTCAAAGCGCCTGGTGGGAACATGAATGACACCTGGACAAATTTCCATGGCGCAGAGGTTCCCACCCCCCAAGGGCACAGGTAACCCCAGGTAACCAGGTAACGAGCGAAATGCCAGATGAAAAAATGGACGAGCAAGTTTCAGCAAGGCTCAACAGGATCCAAGAAGAATCGCCATCGTCTCCGATCAAGTTTCGTCTCCCTTCTCCCTTCTCTCTTTTATTTTCTTGATTTTCTTTGCTGTTCAATCTGGTGTCTTTCATTCTTATCTCTAACCTATCTCTTTTCTATCTTTTCTTGCCTTTTCTACTCCCACTACCGAGTGGATAAAATTCTGGGAAATGTAATACCTTAATTCTGTATTTTTTTAATGTACTGACCCTGAAATATCCCCCTCCCCAAAAAATACACTCCTTACTTGGGTGGATTTTCTTGAGGGATAGGCTCGACCCCCGGATAGGTTGCTGGCAGGCTGGCACACAGATATAGTCCAGGCACTGACCTCACCAATTTTATCCACTCAGTACGGCCCCCTATCCTGTTTGGCTTGATATGCAAAAAATTATGCCTCCCAAGGTTGAGCGCCATTAGGGAAGAAAAGTTTAAAGAATATACCTTCTGCCTTTAAAAACCAATTTAACAGCATGCAACATGTAGATGGAACGCCTGGCCAGTGCCTGCCTGCACCTGGAGTAGTGCCATCTACAGATGGCATTTCCCTAATCGGGCACCCATGTTTTCAAACCCTAGTAGATGGCACTTGTAAAAAACGGTGTCTGAAATTCTGCGGGCGGAGTATAACACTATGATAGATGATAACCCCCCTGGTAACCAGGATTCTGGGAAGCTTGTACTTTGCACAACTCCCAGGGGTGAAGGTACCAAACATGTATGCACATCACCGCTCCACCAGAAGCCAAATTACTTCACTTCGAGTGACCCCAGTGATCCCCACAGTGACACGTCAATCAGCTGTTTTGGCGCCATGGTGAAGAGAACGTTGCCATGGTGGGGAGCTTTGTTGGGGAGTTCGCGTCAAGGTGCAGCCAGCGTGTGCAGCTGGCATTCTATCCAAAGTGCGGATCTGTGACCACCTGCCACGCAAAATGCCACACACACAGAGAGGTCAATATATTGTTGTGTTGTGCTTGTGTTGCGTGTTGCGTGCTTGTGGTTGTCCTGTTGGTTGTGTGTTGCGTGTTGTGTGTTTGTGGCTTTGTGTTTGTGGTTCTGCGTGTGTGTGGTTGTGTGTTGTTGGTTGTGTACTGTGTACGTGTTGTGTGTTTTTGGTTGTCCTTTGTTGGCTGTGTATTGTGTTTGTGTGTGTGGTTGTGTGTGTCTGTGGTTGTGTGCTTGTGGTTGTGTTTGTGGTTGTGAGTTTGTGGTTGCGTGTTGCCGGTTGTGTTTTGTTGGTTGTGTGAGGTATGTGTGTGTGGCTGTGCTTTGTTGGTTGTGCACTGTGCTTGTGTTTGCCGTTGTGTATTGTTTGTCGTGCGTTTGTGGCTGTGTGTTTCTGATTGTGTGTTTGTGGCTGTGCTTTGTTGGTTGCGTGTTTGTGGCTGCTGTTGGGGTCTGAGGCTGCCCACTGTGAGGCTGCCCACTGTGATCTGGCGCTTGCTGTTGAGGTCCGGTAGTGCCCACTGCTATCTGGAGCTTGCCGAGGAAGAACAAGAAGAAGAAGAAGAGGAGCGGAGAAGGAGCGGAGTACACCACTCTTATAAAACTAAAACTGACAACCCTCACCTGACAGGTGGGGAAAAAAACAACCGGTGATCCTAGGTCCAGGCTTGGTGTAATGTTTGTACTTTTGTTATATATATAACTGGTTTTGGTGTTGTTGTGTCTTGGTAGATCAGATCTCTCCGTCCTTATATGCACATCTCTTTCGACATGGAAACTTTATTCAGAACCAGATCCGGAAGAGCCAAATCTGTGAACATTATGTAAGCATGGTGGGAGCAAAGGGCAGGAAGCGGAGGTATGATTTACAAAAAAGAAATCAGACCTATGTTTGAGGCACCAAACTTAGGACATAGTCAGATTTTTCTTGTGAGTTTTGTTTGCAATGCAAAGGGCACGAAGCATAGATTTGATCCACCAACCCCTCAAAACAAGAGCAAAAAAGAACAAACCAAGCCTTGGTCTGAACCAAGCCTTGGTCATGGGTTTGTGTTCTCTCTTTGTTTTGGTGGATCAAAGATCGGCTGGGAAAACACCTTCTCGTATAGCATAAAATGTATTTATCTAGAATTGCATACCTGCTTGAAAGCAAAATGCCTTCCTGCCTGTGGGTGCATTCTTGACGCACACGATTTAACAGCAAACAACTGCCTCGCACCTGCTAATTATTCGTTCAAAACTATCACTTGGTTACATTGCAGGTACTATTGCAGGTGCTTTTACTTGAAGCGCTCTGTTTAAAAGCTGGCTTTTGTTGCAAAAGAGCACCCGTTCATTTTCTATGCAACTGACAACATTGCGGGGGGCACGCACATATCATTCTTAAATTGGAGTGAGCTTGGTTGGAGCCACACCGTTCCGGAAAGACGTGAGTTCCTTTTCAAGTGTGGAAGATTTGAAAAGCGACTTCCTTAGAACACATTCTTTTGAAGCATGTGTGCATTTGCTTTTGCTTGCAAACCGGTCTCCACACCAAAATGGCATTCATCAAGGTTAAATTGCATTCAGGAATGTAGCCCGACAAATTGTATAAATTGTCTCACATGCCGCATAAAAAAATATTCTCCACACAAATCGACTTGTGCAAACATGAAAAGCTTGCTGAAAAATAACGTCGGCAACAAGACAACGTGCATGTGTAAGCATGAAGCCTATTTTATGAAAAGGATATCTGAACCGCACGAAAAGAGTCAACTTGTAACAACAAAATAAACATATATATAATCCAGACGCCTAAGATAGAAGATATTAGTTGTGAAAATCTTCTATTTGAAAGCGTGCCCGGTTTTGAACCCCCGACCGGTTCAAATAGAAGATGGCCCACAAGCCCGGGCAAAACAAAATGAGTAGTATCTTCTATTTGAAGTGCCCGAAATCGGAAAAATCGGTCCGCGGAGATTCTCTGGACGTTGTCAATTTCTTCTATTTGAAACCATGGCCCAACTTCCCCAAAATGACCGCCTTCTATTTGAAAATATTGTTTCTTATCTTCTATCTTTCCCGTTCGGATTATACAGTATTCAGAATGTAGAGGAGCAGACTTTGAAAAGCATCTGCCGCACGGGCTCGTATTAGGACTTCTGGTAAGGCAAGGGTGTGCTGGGGCTCATGTGAAGGACATTGCATTTACAGGGACCACTACAGTCACCCTATTCTAATCTAAGGGTGCTAGATGCGTCAACTTTGTTCACTCTTCCAGTTTTCATTCTATTCTTCATTGAAAGGTTGCTAGCATTGCGGGTGTTATTCTACAGAACATTGCCAAGCATCATATGATCTTGTGCTTATGAGGTCAACACGGAGACAACTCTGCTATGATATGGGCTCGAGCTGGGATCAGACGCCTCATGCTATCTTTGAGTGCTGGGAAATTGCGGCGGTTTGTGCCTGAGTCCTAGGTACCTCGCGGGGTTCGACCGAGGACTAATTTTGAGGCAGCCGGGCCTAAGTATTAGTTCCATAGACTGCACAATACGGCCAGCGTGTTGCTTCATGTCACTGGCATTCAGCATGTCTTGGCTTTCTGTGTGGGTGGGTCAAGTCTTGATTTCCGGCCCAACTTCTCTATCCAATTCCTGTGTTCTGTGATGATAGGCCAATAGACTCAGAACACACACACAAAACGACAAGATTAGATCCACCAAACTCAGCTTTTCCATCTTGTGAGCATGTGAGGCAGTATGGCATTGCTCAGCGGCCCGATTGCAGACCTCACCAATTTGAGCTTAAAAGCAGATCTCTGGACTCATTTTCACTGGTGCCATCGTCATCGTAATCATGTTGGGTGACCCACGTGTCTGTTTGCAGAAGCATTGCCAACCTATACTTGCCAAACCCTCTCCCCAAAATACAAATGATGTTGGTTCTTTCTGGCAGGTTCATTGGCTTCTTCGAGCACTACAGCGAAACGTGCTGATGCGTGCTCGGAAGCACAATCTATACAGGAGGTCTACTGATCTATGCTCGAAGAATGCTCACTGGCGAATTGCTGCATGCTTTACAGGGCAGCGCATGCATTGAAAATGAATTCACCAAATCAACTGTAGATGTTCTGGATCCATGCGGACGAAAATACCCTTTCTCGAAGAGCCTTGGCCACAGCTTCCTGTGTGGGAACAACTTCCTGTTTGATGGTCTCGATCGTCCCATAGAAACTATACAAGCCAAAGAGGATAGCAAGGGAGAGCACCCCAAGGCATCTCCAGCGGCTCATGTTCATTCCTCAGTTGTCGGTCTTTGGGGTGCGCACAGCGGCGCACAGCCATACATTGATGAAAACCACGTCCCAACTTCAGCTAACTGTCTACCAATTATATATATATATATATATCACAGTTCATTGCATATAATATAACAGCATGTCAGCCCCTAACATCTCAGAGCTCACCTTGCAACTTGCAACGCCAAGCTGCCATGGAGCTTCAAGAATGCAATGCAAGGGAAGACCACGCACACGCAATTAGCAGGAAGGATGCCCACGAGATCCCCCATGAAGGCCACAGCATTCTTCAAGAGAATGCAAAGGATTGTGGAAACGATAAGGATGACCGCCTTCATGCTGAACTGGCCCCAGAACTGCAAGCTCTCCCCGAAGAGGTCCGTAGTTGCATCCAGCAGAAGGGGAAGGGTCACCAATTGTTTGGAAGAAAGGCCTAAGATGGTTGCAGCTGCCAAGAATGCACTTAAGGCATTCGGCAGAAGCTCCAGCTCAGTGTCCCGACCAATGTTGTCTGCAATGGACTGCGCCACGCTGCTACCGAAAAAGCCATACCCCAAAATGCCAAAGGCTAAGAGAAAAACTTCTGTCAAAGTCATGCTGTAGACAACCACTCGGTTCCATTGACGCTTGTCTTCCATCAACTGATAGATCAATGGAGCCTCACTGTGGGCGAGGAAGCAAAGCAAGGCGATCCCAAAACCTCGCGGGAGGCCATTCAGGTCCAAGACCTTTTGGTCGGTGGCAACCTCGTCAGCGGAATGCAGCTGCACTCCCGTTATCACCAGCCCGAGCACTAAGAAGAGCTGCGAAGCCATGCCTACTACAGCCATCCAAGAGAAGGCCTTCTTTGGCAGCAAGCAGAATAAAATGGCCGCAATGCAGGAAAGGATCGCGGTGACAAGGTGGTTGATGGGCACAAGGAAGGGTAGCTGTTCGATCACGATGCTCATCAGAACCAAAGCGCCTCCTGCCAGGTCAAAGAACATGCAGCCCGCAAAAAGGAACCGTCCTGGGGTGCCAAAGGCCATGTAGCCAATCCAACCCCAATCACGCTGGGACCGAGGGATGGCCATCTCATCCGCTTTCTGATCCAACATCTCCAGAAGGAAGCCCATAATCCAAAGGGTGAAGCCCATCAGAACTCCCACAGCCAGCAGCACTGGCACAAACAGCCAGCCGGACAAGCGAAAGGCATAGGGCAAGACTACACTGCCACCTCCCACAAAAACATTCAGCATCGTCACCACAGTCCCCCACATCGAAACACCTCGGGTTTTCACCCCAGTGACTTCAACGTCTAGGGGTTCTGACATGGCGGCTGATGCCATCTGCGCTATGGCTATGGGCCTGACTGGATTTTGAGCACGTCTCACTGCTTTTGAGCCCACTCCTACTGACAGGATGGTCCACAGCAATTTGGACGCCTACAACGCTGCAAACTAGAACGACAAGAAGGCAAAGCTGAGAGGAGGAAATGCTATGATCACTGCGACCCTCAAGAATAACAACTTCCGCCATGCACCAAGCGTCCAAAACTTGTGCCCAAAGAATGTGTGCCCAAAGGCCCAACGGCCTCGGCCTCGGTCTCGGTCTCGTTGGTCTAGATTGCTGCCCACGGCCCTCACCACCTGAACCGCGGATTGGCAAGAATTTACGGGAGGGTCACCTGTGAGTTTATATCCAAACTTACTGGAAACATTTGGAGGCTAATTCCCAGAAGTCAAGGAAACCAATTACTTAAAGTATCCAACAGCTGTCATCAGCTGTCTCTTAAATCAAACAAGGAGGAAATGAACCATGATAGCACTGATGAACAAAAAAAGCAACAACATAATCGTCAAGAATCAACACCAAGTCAAGGCCAATCCAATTGCACACAGAAAAAGGGTAGAAACCCCCTTGTCAAAAGCGTTCACATACACCAAGAACGCAAGGTCGCGGAAGGGGTGGCTTGTTGACCAGCTTCTCAACCGCACCTTTGCATGAAGTTTACTGCTTGACATGTGGAGATGGCCTGAGATAGCGATCCAGAGTTTCGGCTTCGCTTGGAGGGTCTTGAGGACCTCCAATGCACATCAGCACCCAGCTACAGTGTCTCTTATAACTTATATATACAAGTGTGTGCGCGCGCGCGCAAGAAAATCAAACCTGGTCGCAGGTTCCCAAAAAATTCCAAATCGACACAACCAAAGGAGGTATAAACTGCAAGTTGTGAGTTAGAGGAGATAAGTTTTCGCGTGTCAAGCCAACCCAACAATTACACAAAGCGTACATTACGTTTGTTGTTGTGTTTACGTTGCGTCATCTGAGCTGGATTCTGAACAAACTCCTTGCAATGGTCGTGAAAACACGGCAATGGGCATTGGATGGCTTTGGAGTGCCCTCAGCTGCCATGCCTCTCAGCAACTTCCTGCTGTGCCTCAGCAAGATCTCGCAGCGTAGCAAGGGCCGAAGAAGTGGCCCATACATGCCGGTACCCTTTTGCCTCATGAGCATTTGGCCCATGAATTGAATGCAGCAGCAGCTGGGGTTCTGACTTTCCGAATGCGGCCCATGCATGAGGCAGACATATCCTCAGTAGAGCAGATTGGCATGTGCCATCGCAAGCGAAATGACTTCATATGATATCATGTGATTATAGGTGTGTAAAAACACACATATATATATATACATATACATTTATATAATACATAAGTAGCTATATATAATTTATGATATTCTTTCCAGCCACAGGCAAGATACCAGAAAAAATACCAGCAGTCCCCAAAAAGCGACCGGTTTTGGGGGACCATATATTTATATATCATGATTTTTATATCTATATGTATCTAAACATTATGCACTGTGCAAATAGTTATGTGCTGTACACGTCGCAAGTGACTGTACAAGTAATTACGCTGCACACACGCCACAGGAGTGATTCCCAAAAAGCGAAGACATGATAAGCAGGGCAGTAACAAGTGCATCGCTAGTCGTAACAAGTGCCTTACTAGTAGTAACAAGAAGCGAACGTAGAAACAATAAGCTAGCAGCTAATAGCTTCTTGTTCCTAGTTAGTAGTAAGGCCCTTGGTCAACTCACAATCCTGGCCAGGCAAAATTAAGATCCGGGCGCGGGTGCCACGAAGGCTGCCCCCTGCGGCTGGCTTTGAGCAAGCCCTTGCACCCTTCACATCTGCAATTGACTTCCCTATATTTTCCTTATATCTCAATGAATCTTATACTCTGCCTCGGTGTGTCTGACTTGACTGCACGCGAGCTGTAAAAGCATTGGAATGACTGGGTTTGGGGGCATTTTTGTTAGCACTTGGCCAACTCTGTGAAGAACATTTTCCTTGCCACAGCAGAACTGTGAGGAAAATGCACATGACACCAATCACTTGGCTGAGTCAACACCAGTATGTCCAGGTTTGTTCGGAAGGCAGTGCCTTTTTCGGTGGCTGTCGGTCTATGTTGGGAACCCCAGACGGGCGCTTGTTCCTTCTCCATTATTTGCGCAGTATCACCGGCATCAAACATCCAAACGGATAGGGTGTCTACTATCATCTTGCTCCTGTAGCCTCATCAAAAAAGCCAAAAGCATTACAAATAGCCGTGTTGACTGCAGGTGGAATTGACAAGGTTTCGGGCCAATTTCGGGGCGTTGAATGATGTCTAGGGACGGTCTTCCCTATTACCTATCTTAACCTTTCGCGAGAGAAGACGTCGTTCGTGCTTGCTGCAAAGCAATGTACAATTAAGGCTGTTTTGCTCACAGTGTTTTGAACGTGTCACCTTCTCCAGATTGCGCTTGTCATGTGTCGGCAACCTCCTTTGACAACAAAGCCGACAGGAATCCCAGTGTTTGTGAGCCAAGGCACTTTGTCCCAGGCAGACGTTGGGGTTGCAAAGCCGCATATTTTTCAGTGTTTTGCAGTTCCGGCGAACTCTCCGGGCCCTAACTACTGACTTGGAAGCCAAACTCTGCAATAAAGCACAGGTAAAGCTGTCCCTCGGACCATCTGCTAACCCAGTCCCCACCCTACAAAACTGGACCACAGGAATTGCCGCGTGGTACAAACAGTGGCCCGGACACCGCGATGTGGCCCTGTGCGGGTAGGCCTCTGAGCACTATCTCTTGCACCTCTGGCTGCTGCTCTCGAAGCACGCTGGCAGCACGGTCACTAAGATCATGCTCCTCGTTGTGCAGTTGACCGTGTTTGAACAACTGCAAGAAGCAGCACAGAAAAAGGACCAAGGAAGGTAACAGGTACCACAATTCCGAGCATCAAATGCTGCTGAGCGTCGCGAATAAAGCCATCGACTTGCCGACGTAGACCTGGCATTTGTGCATGTTTCCCGTATATCGTGTACAAGAAAATTGTAGAAAAATGGCGTCCTTGCACGCTGGTGGACATTCGTTTGGCACGTCCTGCTCCCCTCAAAATCTTCGATCTAAACAAGTGCCCTGGTAACCGTTTGCTCGTGTGGATTTGAGAAGTGAGAGAGCAAGCTGTGGCCCAAGGATCTCAAGCATCACAAATGATTCTGCCAGAATCAGAAAATACCCGGTGCTCAAGCCCAGTCGGAGCTCTCTGCTCGGTGGTTCCTCCACACAGCTCCTGATAAAGCATGTAAAACACTGAGAATGTCAACTATATATATATAACATTATATAACCATGACAAGCTGACCTCGATCTGGCCGCACCGGAGCCTGACAAGTGGCGGTGCAAACTGCCTGCTCCAAAGCCAAAGCGAGGAACTTAATGGAACTTAGGGATCTGAGATGCCCCTGCCCAGTCTTCAGAAACTGCCATTTCGCATCCAGCATCCGAAGGACAATTTCGCAACGACAACGTGCATCAGGGTCAACTCTCGCAGAGGCCTCTTCATATGGGCGTTTGGTACCTGTGCAAGGCGGAGGTCAGCAAATGTGACAAAAGAATCACGGCCGTTCCTGTTTTGTGAGGGCGGCAACAAGATCCACCAAAACTACGAAAATGTCAGCCCTCTTGCCCTGGCAACCAGCTCAATCCTGTCTGCTCGTACTTTCAACATGCTCTAACTGTTAACTCTATGACCCTCTGCGAGGCATCTCAAGCCTCTTTGTCCCGAGCGAGGTTCAAGTGTTCCATCCTTCAGCGCCTTGGTTCACCAATGACGATCTGGCACACGGCTCCAATCAGCCATAGTGGCAAGACCACGCAAGTCTGTATGAGTCTCAGTGCTCAGGAACCATTCGGGATGCCATGCCACACGCTCGAAGACAACACTGAGCACTTGACTTGCTGTGCCTGGCCGAACCGCCACAGCCCCACCAAAAGCAAGTGACAAAAATTGCATCTAAGGTTGCAAGGCATTGCCACTGGCACTGACTAATCCTACAGCCCCCATGATCAGAAAGTCTCGGCGCCAGTCAGCAAATGGGCGCCGACCTTCTTGATGCGCCCAATGCAACCTGCACTGGCATCACGGCAGCCTCGCATGCTCCCCTGACAGTGGAAACAGCAAGGGCCCCCGCGTCAAGTAACTAGTTTCAATGCTTGGAGCCTTTGCGACATCATCACTTAGGTGTACTGAATGCGGACTCATTCAATACTCACATTGAATTGTGCCGGGACACTCCTGACTGTGCTGTGGAGGTTTGACATTCACAGCGTGCATTGGAACGTTTGTGCTTACATGTGAATATTATATTTATATACAGGTAATGCATCCATGTTGAGTACAATCGCAAAGTGCATCGTCTAGACCATCTATACCCGCCTGATCGAGCACAGCTCGCTGGACCATTGCTGGCACTTCGTGCAAAATTGATACTGCACGATCGCCTTAGAGTTTCTGACTGAATTGGTCGCAAAGTGATTGTGAGAGCCTTGACAACCCTCAGAATCAATGACTTTAAGATCAGGACTGAGACTATTGTCGTGGATAAAAGCCTCCAACTCCTTTGCTGATGGACCTTCCGCAGACCAGTTCATCCTTGTCGACTTCCTCAGCTGTCAATGCAATCCTTCCAATCTAGCTATAAGGGCAATCAAATCCAATCAGTCTGATAGCATGTCATGTACAAATATATATATATCATATAATAGGAATATATTTATATATATATATATATATTCATGTGTCATCTGGCATGAACCGTGCTGCTGTTATTGATAGGCGCGGCGGGTAGCGCCACGTGCGAATGCAATCAGCACCAATCTAGGCTGAAAATGCTGATGTCTTGTCCTAGTGACGTGATTGATCAACATCCTTCAGGTTTCGATTACAGTACGGGGTCCAAACTCTCCTCTCCATTCTTTAAAGGAAGAACAGCGGAATGAATTTGGGACTCTTTAATATGGCCACTTGAATGTCCACTTTAAAAGGCCTAAACACCTTCCGTCTTCTTATCTTTCTGGATTAGCCTTTTGGGGGGCTCAATGGACTCAACTACCCCCGTGCCACTCTCTCTGTCACTCTGAGCGGCTCGTCATTTGTTTATGCCGTCAATGGTCCATTCGTTTTTCCCTGGCTTCTTTACTTTGTTGTTTCGTACTTAACATGCCCAAGTTCTCACCAAGGCGCTGGGCCTTCGAGATCCGACCAATACAGCTGGCACTGGGCTCTCGACACCCCCGCAAGGGACCCTGCTCCAGCACCTGCGCCAATTGAGAGTGAGTTGTGCACCACACTGTAGGCACAAGGGAAGCAAATTCTGTAAAGGGACAAAAATAGGTAGCAGAAAGGACAACAAGGAGAGGGGCAAGCCGGGAAAGCCGGCAAAAAATCCAAGACTCCGATACGCACCGACTCTCATGTACGTATGCATCTATGTATCTTTGCATCTGTGTATCTGTGCATCTATTAGATGCATGTATGCATGCATGGATGGCTGTATGGATGTATGCATGGGTGTATGACTGTATGCCTGCATGCATGCATGCATGCATGGATGGATGGTCGGATGCACAATGCACGGATGCACGGATGCATGTTGACAACTATATTGCATGTATGGCTGCATATGCGTGTTCATGTATCAAGTGTCAAGAGCGTTTTTATGCGATCTATGGAATCTCGTTTTCACGTAACTGTCATTGTTCCCTATTACAGTAGTGTTCCTACTGGCAAGGGCACCGGATATGTCTTCCTGTCTTCTATTCATGCGGCTTCTTGTGTACCCGTGTGTTACCCTCGCGTGCTGCACCTGCTCTTGAATTTGCCTGGGGACAGACCTCAGAACTTCTGCAGCTCGTTCGCTTAGGTCGTTCTCAACGATGAACCTGAGAGCTGTAGACCACAACTATATAATTGCAAGAACGATGCCATCCGAATTCTTGCAAAACTATTCTGCCCCCAATTGCCCCCACTTTAACTTTTTGCTGTTTCACTGAATTATTGATGCCACAACGGAAACCCCTTGAAATACTGGGAGCCAATTGCGTCAAGATGCTGCTCGACGTCGCCGTCCTCAATGTTGGGAGCAGGGGTAAGTGTCCTTAGGGAACGTTTTTGGTGCGAGATGCTCACCCATCGTGGACACAATCTCTCTCTCTCTCTCTCTCAGAGCGAACAAGCCACAATCTCGCTGGTGGCTGTTGCTTGAAGGCCGCTTGCGCTTTGGCAATTCGGCCAATGCATCCTGCCGTCAGGGTTGGAAGCGATGCACTCTACAGTGTGTTCTGGTGATCTCCTGCGCTGGGTTCGCGGCAGGTGGCTAGGCTTCCCTGTGACATAACCTGCGCTCACAGGCTTTGGCAACGGTGTGGCTTTGATATCCAGAATGCTTTCCATACCATTCGGCCAAAGGCTCGCAGCTAGGGCAGCTAGGGGATCGGTTCAATGAAGTCAAACTTGTCTTGAGAGGACGAACTGCAAGACCCAAAATTAGACTTGCCTCCATCTGCACCTCTGGGAGAATGCCTCCTCGTGTCCAGCAACAAAGCAAGCAGCTTGTGAACTTGTGATGGTGCAACATTGGAGTTAACATTGAAGAATCCACCTGGATTGGCTACGTTTCTGAGGCTACTTGGATACTTGGCCAAGGCTCTCAGCGCTTCAGCTGCCCTTTCATTGAGACGGTTCTCTTCGATAAATCTCTCCACTTCATCTGGTGGCAACGCGCCGTTGCCTCGGAAGGGGTGACCGCAAGGCTTCCGGAAGGCCGCTTGAGTCCGCTTGACACATCTTGGACAGACCTAAGGGTAGCGCCCAAGGCTAACCCTCAGGACCCTGGTGCATTTACGAGCCTGCAGGCCTGCCAAAGAATCTCCCTGAAACATGCCAAGCAGTTGGACCACAGTTGAATCCCAGTAGTGGTGTGATATGATCCTGACTGACTTCTTCGCAGGTGCCTGAAGGGGAAGGAAGAGCATGGCCTGCTGTTTGCGGTTGTCGTGCTCTACCGTTTCTCATGCGCACATTCGTGGTGCTAGCTGTGGACAATCAAGTGGCTTCGGCATCAGCTAAACGAGTGCGGCAAGGCGGCTTAGCTTTGCATGCTGGAACCGCCAAAACTTGCCAAAGGAACGGCAAAAGCTACGTTTCGATTGGCTGCAGGGCACAAATGATGTGCCTTCAAGAGATTAAGCGTGCCGCGCCACGGTGACACTCGGCCATCCTTCTACCTGTTGTTCACTGTTAAAGGGTGCAGATACAGTAGCAACTTCAAAGGTGGCCTGCCTCCTGAGATGCAGATTTGTATGAGCCCACTACCCGTATCCACCATGGTTGTCCAGTTCTGCAACATCATGCAACATCTCCCACCCCTCCCATGGAAAAAAAAAGGAAGAGATTTGCCTCTCTGAGACTCCCAAGAGTTTCCATACTGTACCCATCTGCCGCGCGACCATGGTCTGGAAGAGAAACCTCAGCGAGATGAACGAGGCTATTGCTTCCAACATCATGCTGAATCATGCTGCTGCTTTTTGCTTCAGCATGTCTGAATTGGAAAGGATCATGCAATAACAAAGTGTACCTGCAAAAACGAACTGAAACGAGGATAGGACATTCATTAATCATTAAGCCTGTCTACGGGCCCCTATAGGCTGCTCCATAGATCGAAATGCGGAATTGACTGTGAAAACCGCTGCACCCCTTTTTGGTGCCTCCGTTTGGGCCTGAACAGTGCGTCGCGTGTCAACCTGTCAACCTGCATGCTCACCACCATATGACCTTCATGTGCTCATGCTAGATACTTCAAATCCTGTCACGGCCCTCATGGTGGTGGGCACACAGTACGGACAGGGACGAATCACCTTCTTGGCTCTATTGGCCACATGTGAACATGTCTCTGAGTGATAGCATTCACCACTATTCGTCATCATCCATTGCTTTCGCTCCATCTCGAACTTCACACCATCAAGGCTTTCTTTCAGCCTCGAGTTGGATGCTTGGTTCATCTCGTCAATGCGTGCCTTCAGCAGCACATTCACTTCCTTCACTTGCTTGATCTCTTCATCCAGCCTTTGGATTTCCTCTTCTTTCTCATCATGGCTTCCTCCTCTACGAAGAAGTCGGTTGGTCAGTCCAAAATTCTCTTCTCGAAGATCTTCCAGCTGACCCCTGAGGTTGACATTCATGTCTGCGAACCTCAGGTACTCGTGCATCATTCTATCCTTCTCTTCTGTCATCTCCTTCAAGTACTCATCTTTTTCTGCCAGGGCCACTTCCAGCCGCACGATCTGCCATTGCATGTTCACCTTATCGATGTCAGTCTCATCTTCCATTTGCTGCGGCTGCTGCTCTTCTTCTGGCTCTTCTCCTTCCACATTTCTGTCGTTGTGGACTCGTCTTCCATTGAACCACTGTCTTCCCTTCTCCCATAGCCATCTTGTCAAGCTCAAGGCTCCAACCATTGCTAGGCACACCAGTGTGATCAATGGCCGAATCCACCATGCTTCTTCTTCTTCCTGGGTCTCCTTTGTCTCATGCACTTCTGATGCTTTGCCACCTTGCAGCATTGTCAAAGCTAGGACCAGTGCGATCCTTGCGTTTCCACCAACTGCTTTTGCTAGTTTGCCCGTGTTCTTCTTCAACTCTTCTTTGGCGTGGATCTCCTCAAACTCTTGCTGGCCGATTTTCTCATTGTCCCCATCTACCATCTTGATGAGGAATTTCAAACCCTTCATGCGCGCTTTGCTCAAGATCTTGGTGCGTTGATGGCCGTGGGCACTCCTGTGACTCTCAACTCCTTGGCATTCGTCTTCTCCTGCAGCCACAACAAGCCGGCTGCAATGTGACGAGTTCTTCCGACTCCAATCCGACCAGCTAACGCTCGAGCAGCTGAGGAATCACTTCTGCAGACCATGTTGATCTCCTCTCCATTCAAAAAGGACCAGCAATGCTTCAGGAACAATCCTTCGCTGCATCCTCCAACCATGGCCACATATTCACTCTCGCCAGAGGAAAGTGCTATGCATCTTTGACACCTGACATAGGATTCCATCAGTCCTCCATTCAGGTACAGCTGCACTGAGCTCACTGACTTTCTTGTAGCTTGCTGCCCTGCATAGTCGGCGTCACAGATCACCTCGAGCAGGTTGGCCTTGGAGTCATCTTCCCATTCATGCGTGTCCTCGTTGACATTCAGGACACTTCTGCCTTTAGGACCATGCTCCAGCAAAATGCCTTCGTCAATGGTCCCCAACAAGTAGGAGCTCACATGTTGCATTGCCCTCCAAGCCTTCTTGGTCGGCTTTTGCGTCAAACTGGCTAGTCCCTGAGCCACAAACTGGATGTCAGGGCGATCTGGGGCAATGTACAAGATCTTTCCAACAGCGCTCCTGTACTTCGTCACATCTTCGTCTGCCATTGGATCATCATCCTTGCTCAACTTTGTGAAGTTGCTGTCTCCCGGAGTGGTCCGGAATTTTCGGTTCTCCACGTTGGTAACCTTGGCCAATGCTTTGATGTGCTCTTTGTCTGGGCGGATCACAATGCCATTCTCAATCATCTCCATGCTGCGCTTGAGGTAGCTGAAGTTTCCTTGGTATAGTGGACCACGCTTCTCCACTTTCCAAGACTTTTGTTCCATGTAGCTGATGAATCGTTCAACTTCTTCTTCATCACCAATCAACAGCAAATCATCGACATGGATGGTGAGGAATAGTCGACCATTGTCTTCATCTTTGGCTTTCTTGTCTTTCTTCATCATAGTCGGCTGCATCACGTCCTGAACCATGCCATAGTTCCTGGCCACTGCACCAAAAAAATCCTTTGAACCATTGTGCAGCTGCGTTCCTCTGACCAGGCAAATTCTTCTTCAACTTGTATTTGCCGTTGCTGGTCACGATCATGGCCTTCTCGTCAGCGGGTTGGTCCATGAGCAAAAAGGCATCTTTGACATCCAGCGTGTAGAGAGCTAATCCTGTTTGCATTTGTAGACGTAGCAACATTCTGACCACCACTGAAGCTGAGGTTGGTGCAAAGGAGTCTTCAGTGAAAACGCTCCATTTGAACTGTCATCCAACCAATCTAGCTCTCCTGAACCAGCCTCACCATTTTGCTGGTGAGGACATAGGAACCTTCTTCGTCTGGTTCGCCGTCTTTCACCTTCTCCAGAACTCCCATCTGCTCCAGGCGGCGTTCTTCGTGACGGCATGCCTCATCATCCAAGGCTGCTAGTTCCTCCTCTGACACATCTGGAGGTCGTTCTTTTGCATGACCTTCTCCTTCTTCATCTTCACTCACATCGTTTAGGGCTGACTGCAAAATTTCTTCTGCCAGCATGTCATCACCTCCTGGGAATTCTTCTTGAATGGCTCGCACCTTCTTCTTAGGACTCATTCGCAGCTTCTCGTCATCTTCAGCATCCCAAGGCAATGAAAACAGTTCTCTCTTCAATGACCCTTGCGGCAAAGTCATCACTGAGCTGCTTCCTGGTGCATGCCGCGCTGTCTCCACGGAGGTTGCTGGCTTGGCTGCTTCAGCTGTCTTCTGACGTTTTGGGCTCACATCCTCAGTGTCCTGCATGAAGTTCCGTGCAGGTTCACCTCTCATAGACTCAGGAATTGGTCTGCTGATCTTCCTTGATGGACTTTCATCCTCTGTTGTCGTAGGAAACGGTCTTGCCTTTGCCTTCTCCCGCCAGGTCTGCGTTGTAGTCCCTGGTGTTGCTGGTGCTACTGCAGGCCTTGCTGGTGTTCTTGGCGCCGGTGTGGCTGGTTTAGGGTTGATCCCTGGTGTTCTGGGATACCCTTCCAGTGGAAAACCTGGTGTTCCTTGACCAAGCACTGGACCATGGCCATACATGCCCAATGCAACGTCTTCACCAACAGTCTTGGCCTCTTGCTCGATCATCTCGTTTCCCTCAGCATCCTCAACTGCCTCAGCTTGACGTTGCCGGGCTGCAAAACGGGATTTCATCAAGATGCCCTGTATGGAGTATTGCCAAGGCAGGCCTTTGCTGTTCACCAACATCTGTCCATCAAATTGGTGAGGAAGACAGATGTGGCTGTCACTCCATGCACTTTTGCCCATCCATAGCCCTTTCTTGTAGACAGGATCTCCTTTGTTGCGGAAGGCAGTGACATCCTTGAATAAGACAGTCTCACCCCATAGTGCCACCTTTCCATTGTATTTCCTGTCTGTCAGGGCTTCAAAGGACGTGCAGCCATTGATCACACGATATCTCACCATCAACCAGGCTGCATGACGAAAGCTCCAGGGATAGCAATGCACATCACCTGTAATTTTGATGCCCGTCTTCTCCTCCGCAAAACTCCGTAGTGTGTTTGCTAGCTTCCGGACAGATTGGACTGTTCGCTCAGCCTGACCATTGCTTGCATGTTGTTCCCGGGAGGTCGTCCGAATCTCCGTGGTCAGTCCGATCGAGGCTCGAGCATGTTGAACAGCTCGGAGGATTTGCCTGGTTGCCCGTTCTCCATCTGACTGAAATACGATGGGCTGTGTATTGCACACTTGCATGCTGAAGCGGGTCAACTCCTCTGTAATCTGCCTGAGTGACAGACTGCCCTTGGCCTGGACGGGGATGCGCAACACTGCTTTGGATTCAGATTCAGCTACATAGAGTGCAGTTCCCCATTGCTTTTCTTCAGCTGCTCCAGAGGTGTATGTGTAGCCATAGTCAAAGCTGATCACGTTGCGGCCACGATCCTTACGATCTGCATTGTCAGCATCAGTTCTCACATCCTCTTTTGCTCTTGTTGCTACACACTGCTGACACCAGGCCTGAAAAGGCAAATGTGTGAGTTGATGAAGCTCTTGTTCATGTTTGGTCGGTAGCTTGGGTGTCTTCACAGGGATTGCTTCTCTTCTCTACTCACTGTAGAGGCGCTGTGCAATCTCGTAGGCAATCTTCTCCTCCTCATGGTGCTTGTATTGTTGCAATCTTCTCAGCACCTTCACCTTCGACCCTGAAGTGGGCAACCCAAGCTTCCGACACATGTCCTGGAGATCTTTCAGCTTGTTGTCCTTGTTGAACGTCAGTTCATCGATGTTGACCTCAAGCTCATCAGGATCAACAAAATGCACATCTTCTGCAATCTCTGGCCTTTCTCCTCCTCCAGCTGCCAGCCATGGAATTTCGCCACCTTCTTGGTCTTCTTGCTCAGCTTCTGGCCATGATGCTGGCTCTCCATTAAGCAGTGGATATTGGCTGACTGGAACCTCCGAAGTGACGACGAAGTAGTCTTTGATCAGACCTGGAGCCACAAACGTCAGTGTTGTCCGTGGCCCATGTGGCAATGGCCGGAAAGGCAGTGGAGTGTCTTTGTAATTGGCCAGGTTCTCTAACTGCTCCCATTGATCACTTCCATCAGTCATCTTTGCCAACGTCAGTCGTCCGCACCATTCATCTCCAAAGCTTGAGCTTGGGTCATGGAAGTGTGATGCCATGGGCTTTGAGTGAACAACGATCCCATTGGGTAATGCGTGCCAGCCTGGAAGTCGTTCTAACAAGCCCAGTTCACGTGATATGTATCCGTGCAGCTGTCGAGGTGCTCCACGGACTGGTCGAACTTGCTCTTCAGGGCTTGACAACTCAACTGGTTCTTTCTTCACCTCCTTGAACTTGAAGTTCCATCTTTCCCAACGGGCCAACTTCTCCTTCACTTTACCATCTTCACTGCTGCTGCCTTTCACCATGATGTCGCCAGACTCCTCTGTGGTGTAACCTGGTGACCGACTTTCATCTCGACCAGGATCACCTTCATTTGACAATTGGTGCATCAGCTCCAATGTCACATCATCATCTTCAGTGTCACCTTTCTCACATGCTGCTGCAGCACTCTCACCTGTTGCTGCCGTGGATGGATGCTCTGGTGGCCTTGTGTCACCACCACTCTCAACTGCTTCTTCTCGTCCTCCACTCACTGCATTGACTTGCAGTTCCTCTGGCTCGTCTCCTTCAGCTCGAACTGCACAAATCTTCACATCCATAACAAGCGAATTTCGTTCTAACCTTGCAGGAATCTTCACGGTCTTCTCTGGGTGTTCAAGGAAAAGACCATGATCATCTTTGGAAAGTCCCCATCCCTGCTTCAGAAGGCGTCCAAAGCTCAAAAGTGGATGGGTCACACCAACTCCCAATGCAAATTGTTCAATGAATTCAATCACTTCACCATCACGAGTTTGGGCTTGCAGTCGTAGACGGCGGTTGCCTCTGCTGCAGATCTTGGCTCCTTGTGCATCGATCATTTCAATGGGCTTGCCTGCACCTGGAACTCCAAGGTTGTAGAACCGTTCAGGAGCCACTGACACATCTGCCCCGGAGTCAATCGTCATGATGACGGAGGGAACTTCCAATGCCACAACATTCTTGATCATGCAAATCTTCATAGGCTCAACCATGGCCTTGGCCTCTCCATCATCTCTGCGTCCTGAGGTTTGGGCTTCTGTCTCTTCCATCGATGGAGGCTTCAACTCATCCTTCAACTCCCCATCGCAGTCATAGAAGGTCTCCTCGTCATCCATTGCCTCATAGGTCTCGGCAATCTCTGTCACTGCAAAGATGGTCAGCTCCGAGTTCTCATCTTCTGCCTCGGATGCCTCTTGCTCCTCATTGGAGTCACCCTGGGTGAGATCAAAAATCTCCACAGTGGCCAATCCCGTCGGCGTGACCAGTCTGACCCGCCTGACTCCCGCAGTCGACGAACGTCCTCCGGTGTGGGCTGAGCTGCCAGTTGACGCCGAGGTCTGGCCGTCCTTTGTTGTCACTGTTGCTGACCCTTTTGCATCTTGACCTTCTTCTTCAACTCGTCTCACCTTCTTGGACCAGCAGTCCTTGGCATAGTGGCCTGGTTTGCCACAGTTGTGACAAGTGCCCATGCCTTTGCCCTTCTTGCCATCACCTTTGACAAATGGCTTTCCTCCTTTGCCCTTCTTTCCTCCATCTTTGGACCAGCTGCCCTTACCTTTCTGCTTGCCCTTGTCTTTGCCTTTCTTTCCTCCTTTCTTTCCACCTTTTCTTCCACCGTCTTTTGACCACACTGCATCCACCTCCATTGGTCCACCCTTGGCCTCAACCTCGGCCATCGGTCGTACAGAAAGCTGCAGGCCTCCTTCAGACATCCATCGCTGGCTGACCTGTTCATAGAGCTCGATCCTCTGTCTCAGGTCTTCGAAGGTCGTGTCGTCCTGCAAAGCCATTTGTATGTGGACTCTGAGGTTGGGAGGAAGGGCTGCCACCACTGAAGCAATCTTCAAATCATCTGGATAGGTGGTCTGTGAACTTCTCTCATACTCACGAACCAGGAGATCATACTGGGGAAGCTGTTCGGTCACGGACTTGGTGGCATCAAACTGGACCTTATTGAGGGCTTGAACCAGTGCTAAGCTTCGTTGACGAGTCCTGGGCTGCAGATCCTTAGTCAGGATCCTCCAAGCTTCAAGGCCGTTCTGGTTGCTCACCCCTCGAACTAACCTGAGTGGCCTTTGTTTCATCAGGCCAGTGAGCAGGGAGTACAACCTCTCGGATTGGGCTCGGATCTGTGGGTTGCCATCATTGATGGGGTTTTCTTCTTTCTCAGCCTGCTTCATGTGGTTGAGCATGCTGGCATCAACGGCACCCACGAACGTTTCGAATTGGAACCTCCAGTCCATCCATTTGCTAAGCTCTTCACTTCTGTTTTCTGGTTGAAAACTTGTTGGAGGCCTCAAATGCTTCGTGAACCCTGAACTCTTTTGAACTTCTATCAAGCCATGGAGGGCTTGCACCAGTCCTTGCACTCCATTCGAAGCGCTTGCTGCCTGTGCGGCAGCAGGTCCACCATCACCACCAATGGCTTGTTCCAAGCCAGCTCCAGCCGATGCCATGAGCGTGACCCCAACCAGTCGTATCCACCCGGGGCTTTTGGGTGGACCTTCCTAACCCCCAAAGATCACCCAAAAAGGGATTCCCTGGAGATGCCGGGGGCTGCCCGGCAGAGCTCCGCTACCATGAAAACCGCTGCACCCCTTTTTGGTGCCTCCGTTTGGGCCTGAACAGTGCGTCGCGTGTCAACCTGTCAACCTGCATGCTCACCACCATATGACCTTCATGTGCTCATGCTAGATACTTCAAATCCTGTCAGACTGTGTTTTTCGACAAATGTGCAGAAGTGCCGCAGAGTGGTTTGACATTTTGTTCCTGAACAAAACTTGACCACACTCGCAAACAACCCCTCCCTGGCGAGATTGAGCTGACTACACTGCGACTCGGCCAGGTCAGGAGACTTGTAGTATTTTTTGCCTTCAACCCCAAGACCGCTTGAAGGAAACCTTAGGGTTCCTAGAAGCACACACAAAGCTCCCACTTCCTGCAGCAGCCACAGGCGCCAAGCTGGCCGAGGCACTTCTTGAAGTGCTACCTCGGCCTTCCGGATGCGTCCAACACCTGCTGGCTGCAAGGTCGTGTGAGCGATACAGCAATATGGTAATTGTCTATCTATATCTATTTATCTACCTATAACATTTACACATATATATATATATATACATATATGTTACAAATATTCATGTGTATTTAAATACATAAATATATATATACACAGCATATTTCAATTCAGAATCCGGGACTGTGCTATGAAATGCCCATCCCCGGCCCATCCGCAGGTCCACAGCTCTTTTTCAAACATTGGAGATGTTAACAACCGCTCACATCCCCAGAACATCTTTGGCACCAACGGCCTCCTTTGGAAATGAGTTCCTAACAAGCACTTGCAGGGGCACAGGAACTCAGCAAGAATCCCAAATGCCGAGGGACTCAAACCCAGTGGTGCCTACACCCGGCTTGCTGGCATTTCCCATCACCAAACACCAAGTGCGCGTGTCTGCGTGCGGCACTTTTGTGTTTTGACTTTTGACCATGCAGTAAGTACGTACTGCTAGTAAGCTTGTACTGGCACGTTTGAGCTGGAAAAAAACCTGGTACGAAAATCATGATCCCAACAGCAATCGGGTGATTTACTAGCGACGGTCTTCATGTTTGGTGGCGGTGGTGGCGATGGCGGCGGTGGCGGCGGTGGTGGTGGTGGTGTGAAATAGTGACACCATGAAGTCCCTTTGCATAGTTCGCCCAACCTCTGTTCGTTTTGAGGGTGCAATGCCGAAGGGTTCGCCTGCGGTCATGGTGATCGTTTTTGGGCATGTGTTTTTGAAGAGTGTGAAGCACACTCAAAAATCAAGAAGTGTACCAAGTTCGCAGAACCACGCATACATACCGAAATATGCAGTGAGGGCGGTGACCTTAGTCACTGTCCCTCCTG